AGGTAGATTCAGTGATGAATCTGAGGGGGCAAGAGCTAGGTGAAGAATCTGGCAGAGAAGAACCAAGATGCTAAACCCCTTACCCAAGGCTGCAGAGTTAGGCTTTGCTAGGCTTAAGGACAGCCTTACACCCAAACAGGCTTTAGATAACTCAGACTTGTGCAGCTGAGGAAAGTTCATCAGATGGTTTCATCTTCCTCCTTCTGAGCATTGGCTAGAATGTTTGCGAAAGATGCCAAGAGATCTTTTATATGGGGAGCAGGGATTGAAATCTAGAAAGAAGGAGATTGAAAGCCATGCTGTCCATATCTTACTCGGGTAGATGTTGAAGTTTTCAAGTGCGGTGTTGCTTTTTAGAGAGCAGAATGATGACTTATACTTGATTTTGTATTATGGAGTCTCCTAATGCCTCTCTCGGGTCTTATAACCGGAAGTAACCCAAACACACATCAAAAGAGCTGGCGCGTATTACAGATGCTTGTTGTGCTTTTGTGTGGCTCTTCTTAAAGTCCCTCTTTGATTGAGACCCAAGGACATATTTTTTATAATCCTTGGCATTAAGCTGTCTTGGAAAAATGCTAATCTTTTCCACCTCCTCTCCTAGCTTGTCAAAACTGGCGCGATAGTAACTTACGGTATTCAAGAAGGTTAATTTTGTGGCTAAACTCCTGGGCTAGAATTCAAGAAGTATGTTTCCATTAGTTCTGCTGGGGAATTCTCCCATGGATTTAGGATAAGCTGTTAAATCTCTTTGCCTCCCCTTTTCTTAATCCGTAGATGCGAGAGACCAGGTCTTTATGCTCTCAGGAGGAGCTTCACTCTGGCCTTCACTCGTGATGTGAGCATGGGAGCAACGCTCAGCGCCAACAGGATCGTCTCTGGCTTGGAAGCCRGGCTGGTTTAGACACTGAATTGATGCTTTTATTGCCCTGATGGGCACCTTAACCTCAAATGGCAATGCTGTGTTTGCAGAATAGATGGAGGAACAGGCCCCTTTGCTTCTTGTCATTTCACTATGGCATTTTGAAGTCTTTTCCTGCAATTGCCACTCCGTTACCCTAACCAAATGGAAGATGTTTAAAATTGGAGTATTATAAATCTGAAGCTTTTGTTCCTCCTTCTGGATAAAAGGGTAAAGTGAAACCATTGCAATGGATTGTTTTAGAGAATTTTAATAATTAGAATTGCATGAGAGCCCAGGCTTCTGAGCTGTCGTTTGTCCCATCCCCTTTGCAAGTGCTGGAGATTTTCAGTGGCTTCAGATTTCACAGTTGTCTTGAGTATCTGGCTTAGTCTGCCAGGAGATCTTCAGGAGAACATTATGGGKTCAAATTCTGCAGCCCTGCATGTGTCTGCTGAGCGTTCCTGCTTCTGCAAGCAGGATTTGGCCCTCGTGTAAAGTCTAATCTTTCATATCCCRTGCTTGCAGGTAAGCCCAGTTGCCTGCCATGGGTCCGTTTGTGCAAATAAGGGCTGCATTATGCTCATGCATTTTCGGGCTATGGGTCCCAAGATACTTGGATTTTTGTTTTCTGCTGTGTCTGTTGGATTCTTCCAGGGGGAAAAATGCGCGTGTTTGGAAAGAGCAGGAGCATGAAAGATGCCTGTGTATTCCCCGAGCCTCCTAGGCCTCTCCCTAACGCGGCGGTGTCCCCGGCGCCCTGTGGCCGTTGAAGAGCCTCTTCGCGTGCAGTTGCACGGCAGCGCGTGGCTGCGCTCCGGCCCGCGCTTATTGTGCACGCTGGGGACAGCGTTTTGRCCGCAAATAAAAGCCCCGGGAAGGAATGCAGCATCAAAGTGCCAGAGCCGGAGCGCTCGGTATGTTGTYGAGGAGGGCAGCGTGACACAGCCGCTCCACGTCGCTTGTGCAAATGAGCAGCCCCTTGTGATGCAGAGCAGGAGCCTGAGCAGGCGGTCGCGCTCGCCCTGCCGCCAGCAGCCCGAGTGAACGCAGCCCTAATTGCAAGCAGAGCTTGGCCTTTTCTCTCTCTATTCTTTCCACCGATACATTTTAACAAGTTCTCATGAGAGTATTAAAAGGCGTTGGTTTTGGAGCGCGTGGCCTGGCGGGGACGGCTCCGCGCGCAGCTGCAGCGGCGGGCAGCAGCCCTCGGCCTGTCCCGCCCGTCCCTGCGGACTCGGCGACCCCGCGTAACCTTGGGGCTCCCGGGGCAGGCCGGCCGAGGGAAGCGGGAGCAGGTGACTGATGAGGGCTGTCAGCAGAGCCCGCCGACAATATGGGAATGGCTTTAGCAGCCGCRCGCTCCCCCCGTTGGGCTCCTAAATCAAGAAATGCAAATCGCCGCCGCCTCCTTCGCTCGCGGCGCCCAGGCTGCCCGGCCGCACGCGCTTTGTTGTGGCGCTGCTCGCTCCGAGAGGCAGCCTCGGCCCCAGGCAGCAGGGAGAGGAGCAAATGGGGCCCGACCCCCGCCTTGATGGTTAGTGCCGCTGACGTTTGGGCCTCTGGCGTGGGCAGGTAGGAAGATACTGCCGTGCGGATACTTGTGTTTGTGCTTTGAGGGGGCAACGGGAAGCGCTCAGAGTGGTTTGCATTGTTAGGCTTTGTCTCGTAGCTGGTCTCCTGGAGGGGAGCAGGGGTACCCGGTGCGGAGAAGCTGGTACCTGTTGGCGTGAGAACTTGCTTGCTGTTGGCATTACAAGTAGCTGTGTATTTAGTATTAGCCATTTAGTTGCCGGGCAAGAATGGGAGCGTCTCTGTTAGGTTTCAGCACAGACAGAGGCACAAGGAACTTGGGAATCAATGTTACCTTACAAGTTCAGGATTACTTTGTAAAACATGTAGTTGGGAGGCACAGATAAATCAGAGGGACAATGTTCTACATCGGTGTAAGCATAATACCAGGCATAATGCAGAGAATGGTGTTGCTCAGTATACATGTGAGATTGTTCTGCATTCCCCAYGCACGTCTTAACTGAGTTGTCATTCAGAAATCCAGAGGCAGAGGAGCAGTGCTATGGCAGCACTTGCTGCAAGTCCTGCTCAGCTTGTTTTAGGCTGCTGTATGTGAACGTGAGTTCTGGTTTGCGTGAGCCGACGCGGCGGCTTTTCCTTGTCCAGAGCAGCTGCTCCGCAGGTACCCAGGGATGCTGCGGCCGGGCTGGATGTGTTAGCGTTGCAGGCAGCCATAAAGAGCTGTTTGAGCATGTTAGAGTTGTAACCCAAGCGGACAAATCCCAACGTATGTAAATAGTCCTGGAGCTTTAAAAATGTGTGCTAGTAAAACTTTGTGTTGTGTTTTAGAGGAAGCCTGTTTACGGTGTGTAGTTAATTCAGATCAGGGCGTTTTATATTGCAAGTGCTTTCATTCTTTTTCTTTTTTTTYTTGCCTAAGAGTTAACAGTTACGAAGTAACAGTTTTAAAGCTAAATTGTGGGATGTGGAGGTGAATATCATGTATATAGCATGATATTCAGCATTAAAGCTGTCACTTAGTCTTTCAAGTACCATATTTTCTTTAGATCTYTTTTCAGATATATCTTTGGGTTTTATTTCATGTGTTATTTGCTTACAAGGAAGCAATACTTCTTGGAGAAGGTGCAAGACTAATACTTTTTGGAGAAGAATTGCTCCAAATTYTCCCCCAAATCCAAGAAATTAACCTTTTTAAAAGTTCCTTTTATGCTCTAGTTTTAGTTTGCAGAAGTGCTTTGGATTAGGCACTGGTGACTGACAGTCAAAGCCCCCTTGGACCTAAATTTCCAATACTTCTAAGTCATGTCACATTAGCTTACCAGTGCTCAAGTTGAGGATGAGTCACTGAGTTTTTGCCTGCTTCAGTGARCTGCAAAGGTCATGGTCCAGACAGGATCATTTAAAGCACCATCCAGTAAAGACTTCCAATGATTTCAAATACGTTACAGGTTCTCCCTTCTCTGTTACAGCTCTCCCAACAGTAATGTTGTTGGCACAAAAAAATCCCATTTTGACCCTTTGCTTCCCATTTCTTTAATAGATTCTATGTTTGTCTGTCAGACATCAARCCAAAGAACCAGAAATGCAGTTTTCTCTGGACTCGTTCATCACTTTTAGTCTAGCATGGTGCAGAGCATCTCTTCGTGGAGGACATGTAGTCCTGTCTGACCTACTCTTGTAGTTTTAATCACTCTGCTGCAAAGGGAATCTTTAAAATAGAATCCTTATTACTTTGGAGAAGTGTAAGACGTGTGAAAAATGATTGCTAACTAGGAAATTTTACTCAATAAAACATGATTACAGCTTGCAGGTTCACATCTGATTATAATGTAGTCACATCCTCTAGATACTGGAACAGTTTTGTATTGGAATGGGAGGAGAACCTCCTGTCAGGGAATCAATGGGAATTCAATAGGGAACCAATTCCATTAAAAAAAAAAAAAAAAAAAAAAAAAAAAAAAAGGATATCTTTCCCTTTATTTTTGGAAGTCTTTCCTTTATGTGAGCTTCAGCTTTCAACCTGGTGTCTCAGGCAAGTCTTCGTTAAGGATACTTTTCTTCTCATCGGTTTCTCCCCTTTAGTTGGTTGATTTTCTTCACTGCCCCTTTTTTTTTCTGTAGCTCCCTAGGAATAGTTGGCCTGTCTTGTATTTGTAGGAGCTGCTCTTACAGGAGGATGGCCATTGTGGGCTTTATTCTTTAGTAAAGTATTTTGAAGGCTGCCTAGATAAATGGCACCTGATAAATATTAGCAGTAGGAACATTGAAAATTTTGGGAAGCATTTATAAGGTGAGTGGATTCATTCTTTTTAATTTATATTGTAATGTCTTTTTTTCTCTGAAGGAGGTCCCTCTAAAACAATGAGTATAAAGAGTTYACTTCTTGGATTTAATGAAGTTTTGTAGTTTCATGCCAGACATTTAAATTCAAAATATCCAAATATATTACTTATTTTAGAATGTAAATTATGCGCTTCACGTTTTTTAAGCATTTGTTAGAAAAGTTACATTCCATCATTCATTTTGAGGTTTTCCCCCCTTCCCTTTTGTTTTTGTTTTTCCTCAGTTTCCATTACAAAGAGCAGTGCAAAAATCCAATCTTCCCCTTCCAAAGTGACCCGACGTTCAATGCAGTCTCCACAGAAATCTGCTCCAGTGCCGGCGCAACGGGGCAGGAAGCCAGGTCGGGGCAAACCCCCTGGACAGTCTGCAGTTCCCAAGAAGGGCAGGTCTCCTAAAAATAATCCCCTGACAAAAAGCACCTCTCATACTGAGAATCTTAAAACAAGGAAAAAAAGTTTAAAACCTGGAAAAAAGGTTAGTCTTTATCTACTACTTTACTTTATATTGCAGAATCTTGTAGAGAGAGTTTTTTGGTTTTTGTTTTTTTTTTTTTAATTTCTGTCTTCAGCCTTAAAGGCTTTATTGGATTCAGAAACTGATTACAAAAAAAAAAAAAAAAAGACTCTGGAATAGCTATTCTGGATAATTCTTTTCAGTACTAGCTTCTGTGTGTAGCCTAATTCTAGAACAAGCTTACCAGTTTAAGTTAATTTATGGGTGAGTTGTTGGGATTGGAAAAAAGAAATAACTTGGGAACAGGCATTTCCAGTAAAATTCCAAAAACAGGGAAGCCTCTAGGCTAAATAGTTATTTTGTTACTGAACCAAATATGTAGTTATCTTAATGTTGTTCCATCTCTTGTTTAGAAGCAGTTGGAGCTGTGGTGAGGGTCTGGGGGCAAAATTTAAGCGTTCAGCTGGATTTGCCGAATCAGTCCCTTTGATGCTCYTTAATCCTGGAGCTACTGGTGTGCAATAGGAAGCGTCTCTTAAGGCAGTGACATCCTTGGTGTCTCTGCCCTGGTCTGGAAGGGTTGGGGCTTTTCTCCCGTGCATGCATGGCAAGAGAGCTGGGTTCTCCTGTCAGGCTGCAGACCTGCTGCTGCTTCAGCTCGTGCTGACCTGAGTCCTCCTTCCTGGGACCCCTGAGCTGGCTAGAGGATCGCAGGGGAACCCGTGCAGGGCACTGAAYTGTCTCTTTCCCCCTTTTGTCCACTCCTTCTGCTCAGTAAATAACTAACCAACTAACTAAGAGGTGCAAATGCTGCTACAAAGAAGTATAGGATTGGAGCAGGACAAACATAAGCAAGTCTTGTCTCACTGTGGAAGCACAATCTAACTTCTCTAAGGCTTGTTCAGCTACTGGGCTGGGCCAGTGCTGATGCTCTTGGGTCCTCTTCCCCCCCTCCTGGTCTGCTGCATGGCCCTGGGAATGTTTGTAGTGATGCATGGGAAGGRCTGGACTAATAGCATGAGTGGGACTTCTCCGCTCAGTGACTACCCATTTAAAATACTAATGAAGGAGCATTAATAGAGCACGCCTTAAACGCACCGGTCCTGGCTTTTCCTCTAGCTGGGAACAGGAAGCTGCAGAGAGACCCAGGTTCAGGCAGGGGAGGCTGCTGAGGGAGAGGTGTTCTCAGGGGGTGTGTGTGAGGGGGGTTGAAGGAGATCATTGACCATGGGACTCCCCTGTCCTGAGGAAGTAGTCAGGAAGGGCAGGGTGTGTTTCACAGGAGAGTTTTGTCCTCTCTTCTGTGCGAAAGCAAACTTCAGGTGTCCTTTGAAAGAACAGTTGGAGAAGTTTGGGGGCTCTGAAGCCTCTGTGCTGGCAGCACTGCGTTTGCTCAGTGTATCCCCATCGTGCTCCGTGGAAAAGAGCCTGTCCTGTGTGCGGCTGCCTGGGAAGGGGGCTACTGCCCGTGCTCCCTGTGCGCAAGCGGCGCCTCTGCTGCCGCGAAACGCGCTCCGCGTTGCCCCAGGGGTGCAGCCAGCTGGCGCTTCGGCTGTGTAGTGCCCAAGTTTGGGGTAACTCGCAATATTTCTGTATTAACTTTTACATGGAAGAGCTTAAAATGAGTTGCTTTTAAGAATCTCTGGAAGGTTTTTAACTGCTGCTGTGATAAGGTCGGCAAATGTTCTGCATGTGATTTAATGCATTGTGACAACTGTCAAGTACAACCTGTGTTTGCTCTAGAAACATGTTCACCAGCATGAGTTCATGACTGCATCTTTGTGTGCTGTTCAGGTTTGTGTAAGATGGTGATTTCTGTTAATATCTTGTTTTATGAGAGCCTTTCTCAACAGGATGCATTTAAAAGATGGTGCATACGTGCATGCTCTGCTTTCAAGTGGTAAAACTGTTAGAATAGGAGYGAAGAGGAAAATACTTTCAGGGAGCTCTGCACATACACATGTACATTTGGCATGGAGTGCCCTACTGCC